CTGAGCCCATCGGGGAATGTCATAGATTTATTCTTAGTTCAAAGGCACAGGAACAGGCAATTTACCAATGTCCTCCTCCCATCCTCTTTGTCTCACTAGCTCTGAATATTCTCCCATACCTTTCTCCTTCCTGTTTTAATTTAGCTTCTCCTTAAGTACATCAATGCTAGTCTCTGCAATAATTCCTTGTGGCTGCAATCAGTTCCACATTCTCACCACTCTGCACAAAATGCCTCTTCAATTCCCTATTTGATTTACTGACGACTATTTTAATTGAAGACTTCAGGTTTTAGGCATCGCTACAAGACTAAAATCTTAAACTCTTATCAAAATCCCTTCACAATTTTAAGGACCTTTGTCTGGTCATCCCTCAGCTGCTAGATGAATGGATCTCGACTCCTTATTAAATTGGTGGAATTAGCGTTACCAACCAGCCCCTGGATCATGCTGGAATCTCCAGGACACGAGGAATAATCTGCAAAAGGAGAGAAATCAAGGACTCCTTCACTGCTGCTGGCCTCCCCCCACCCCCATTTCATGAATGCTGTGTTTTATTAACTTTACTGGATCTCGTGTTAACAAGGAAAAGTCAGGAGGTCATGCAATATAACTTCACCAAGGCATCCAACTGCTGTTGGCAACGTCAGGTGAACAGCAAAATAGGATGAGAGCAGAACTCGCTTTGTATTAGTCACTGAAAAGCAACAGCAGGTAAGAAAGCAAACCATCAACATTTTCACCTCGAAATTCATGCTTCCTATGATGTGTAAAGAATCACAAGGCAGGGAAAGTGAATTATCAGGGAGAGGTGTTTAATCAGACAGCTGCTTCACTTACAGTGGTCTGTAAATGCCATCTGGATCACCATGCCTGCCTAGAGGCAACCCGCCAGTGGCCAGGCACCCTAACTGCCTGCCTCGCCAGGGGCTGGCGTACATGCCTCAGAGATATTTTTGTGGTGCCTGACAAGGTGATGGTTGATAGTTTCTGGGAAAGGAAGGCTTTCAACCGTCCTGCGCAGAAAGAAAAGACACTAAGCTGTTCTCAGACCTGATACGTTATGTGTTCAGTGTTCCCTGTTAGCTGTGTCACACTCACACCACTGAGTCAGAACTTTGTTGAATTGGCTTGAGCACATAATCCTCTCTTGACACTCAGTGTGATACTGAGCAAAAACTGCAGCTTTGAACAGGATCATCTTTCAGATGGAAGATTAAACGAATTCTTGTGTGCCCTCTCAGGTCAGCATGAAAGATTCCTATTTCAGGGAAGACAGGCTATTCCTCCTTGCTGTGCTAATATTTATTTCTGAACCACCATCGCAAAAACAGAATCGCTGGTCAATTGTCACTCTCCAAAACTTGCCTCCTCTTCAATTTTCCATTGAAAATAGTCCTAATGTCATCTTGTGTGTGTTGGTTTCAAATCTTACCTCCTACCATGCCTGAGAAGCATCTTCCCATGTTGATTTTTGCGATGTTCAAAGTGCTTGATAAATACATTATTTTGTTGTTATTGTTCGTTATCTCATTGGGAGTTGGTTGTGAACAAATGGCTGCTGCATTTATTATGTTACGTTGAACTTCCAAAGTGCTTCATTCGCTGTAAGTCGCACTGGGACATCCCGAGATGGTGCTATATAAATCCAAGTTATTTCTTTGATTCTGTCTTTATTTACTTGACAGTTTCCAAAAAACAAATCTTATCACAGAGTCAAGCATTGGTTTCTCCATCAGAAACAAAAACTAGAGGTTGCAGGAAATGTTCAGCTTTGCCAGCAATCTCTAATTTTGTTTCTGATTTACAGCATCCGCAGTTATTCGATTTTTTTTTTTCCTTCTTTTTTTCTTTTTTACTGTTTTTTTTTCCATCCTTGTATACAACAATCCTTGCAACTCATTGAAACGAACAGAGTTTCCAAAGACACTTCCAAGTTATATGAATTTTGAGTAGTTTGCATTTATTGATCTCGCAGAGTCATTAGTTGTGCAGAAGGAGGCCATTTGGCACATCATTTCAGCACTACTGCTCTGGGTGAGCAACAAGTCTTTGTGCCAATCTCTCACCTTTCCTGAAAACTTGCATATTATTTGTATTTAAATATTCATCTAATGCCTCGAAAGATATTCATTGACCATGACTCTGATTCCTATCGCTCATGCATCCATGTTGCTGCTGTCTGTCTCATTTCGTGAGCTGTAACTTTCCACACAAACCTGTTTGCCTCTGTATCCATCATCTGTTGGAAGTCAGTGCTTACTGTATCAACAGTATTGCCCTCATCAACCTCATAGAGTCATAGATATGTACAGCACAGAAACAGACCCTTCAGTCCAACTCATCCATGCCAACCAGATTTTCTAAAATCTAGTGTCATTTACCAACATTTGGCCCATACCCCTCTAAACCCTTTCTATTCATACATCCATCTGGATGCCTTTTAAAGGCTATAATTGTACCAGCCTCCACCACTTCCTCCAGTAGTTCTTTCCATACACACACCACCCTCTGCTGAAAATGTTACCCCTTGGGTCCTTTTTAAGCCTTTTGCCTCACACCTCAAACCTATGCCCTCTAGTTTTGGATTCCCCTATCCTGGAGAAAAGATCTCGATTATTCACCCAGTCCATGACCCTCATGATTTTATAAACCTCTATATGGTCACCCCTCAGCCTCCGACACTCTAGGGAAAATAGCCCCAGCCTATTCAACCTCTCCCTATAACTCAAACCCTCCAACCCCGGCAACATCTTTATAAATGTTTTCTGTACCCGTTCAAGTTCAACAACATCTTTTCTATAGCAGTGAGATCAGAATTGAATGCAGTATTCCAAAAGTGGCCTAACCAATGTCCTGTACAGCATCCACATGACCTCCCAACCCCTATACTCAATGCACTGACCAATAAAGACAAGTGTACCAAACACCACCTTCGCCTCTCTGTTACTGCTTCAAGAAACTCCAGCAAATTAGTTAAATCTGATTTTCCTTACAAAATGTGACAATTAATTCTTTCTAGAAGTTTCTCCACCACCTAAGATTAAACTGACTGATCTGTAATTGCTGGGTTCATCTTTACAACTTTTTTTGAACGAGGCCGTAAAGTCTGCAATTCTCCAATCTTCTGACATCAGCCCAAGTTCAGTGAAGGTTGAAAAGTACTTGCCAGAGGCCCTACAATTTCACCTCACTCCCTTCAATATCCTTGGCTCCATCTCATCAAGTCCAAACCTAAATATCATCAGGCTATCTGATCAGGTTTAAATCCTTCTAGTGACAGAGCTTCCTCCTCCATCACCATGGGCTGGGCAGCATCTACCTCCTTGGTAAAGACAGGTAGGAAATATTCATTCGACAAATCCTTGCCTCCAGATTCCTCTGGGCGCTCCACAATTCCTTCCACAATCGAAAGATGTGCATTAGGTGGATTGGCCATGCTAAGTTGCTCATAGTTTTCGGGGATGTGTAGGCTAGATGGGTTAGCCACGGTAAATGTGGGGTTACAGGGATAGGGTAGCGGGGTGGATCTGGTTCGGATGCTGTTTAGAGGGTTGGTGTGGACTCAATGAGCTGAATGGCTGCTTCCACAAAGGAGGGATTCTATGATTCTCTCTACTTGGCTCTCTGTTGTATTTTCTTGCTAACCCCTGCCTTATGCACGGTTTTTCTTCTTAATCTACTTTTTCTTCTTTACCTTAATTTCTATCTCATACAGTCATGTATTTTCAGTGGGGTTTAATATTGTGGCCTCAGTTTAAAGTTTTGGCAAAGATCTATACCTCAGGTCCCGGGGAAGGTTGTTGACTTGCTCGCCGAGCTGGCTTGTTCTCGTTCAGACGTTTCGTCACCATGCTAGGTGACATCATCAGTGGAGCCTCTGATGAAGCGATGTTATTCTACTCTGCTTGGAATTTATACTGTCTGGTCTGTTATGGTGAGCGCTGTCATTTCCGGTTTTGACCTGTATGCGTTTTGTTTATGGGGTCCAAATCTATATGTTTGTGCTGATGATTTGATGATGTTTAATAGCTCTGACATTCCTGTATCGAGAATGATGGGACTGTTATAAATCTGAAACTCTGAATATCCTCAAGCTAATTACTGATGAGATTGTTGGACTCTTGCCAATTTTCTTCGATTCAGGGCAGTGTGTTGTGCTGGTTTCCTGGAAGGCTGATTGCAATAGTGCTAACTCATTTTGTTCAGAATCTTTGCAGATGTCTGTAGGGGAGGGTGCACAGGCTCTGTCTAATACCTGTTCTGAAGGCTGGGATACATTGCTGTCAGTGGTTCAAGCCAGTTGGATACAGTGTGTGGCTGTCTACACATTGTCACCCTCGTGATTGTAATGAGGTCAGCCAGGTGGACCTCATATTATGAGTCCTCTGATTGGGGCTGTTAATCTGGTCCAATCAGGGACCCCTGGCTGATAGATATAAACAGGAGTGTCAGAGGTTCTGTTCACTTTGAGAGCTGGCTCTGAGGGAGCTGGATTTCTGCCATGGACTCTCTACGTGTAAATAAAGGGTGACTTGGTGACAGTGGTGACGAGAGAAAAGCAGGCTCCTGAAGCAATTTGCCCGCAACAGTCATCTTTGAGTTGGGGTAAACATTTCTGGCATTGTGCTGCTATTTAGGAAGTTTGGGTTGTTTGATCCTGCCGTCGAAGACTCTGCCCAGTATGCGGAAAGAATGTGTTACTTTTTCCGGGAAAATGATATTGGGGCAGATGAAAAGCAACAAGTGTTCTCCTGACAGCTTGTGGACCTGCAGCTTTTTTGGTTATTAGAAGCTTCACTTAACATGAGGCTCCAGATACTAAAATCTTTCACCAGTTGACGGATTTAGTTAAAGAATATGACGACCCCAGGCCTCCTCTAATTCTGAGACACTGTTGGTTTTATTTGGCAATTCAAAAACCAGGGGAATCCATATCAGGATATTTGACTAGTTTAACACAACTGACAGAGCCATGTGATTTTGATTTAACCTTTAATGAGATGCCGAGGGACTGTTTGGAATATGGGATTAATGATGTAACCATGCAAAAATGCCTGCTAGCTGAAGCTCAGCTGGGCCTCAAACGGGCGCTACAACTGGCTTTATCATTAGAAAATGCGGCAAGTAGAGAATATGAGTTACAGAGTATTCCGATGGAAGTGGACACCCTCGCCAGGCCGACTGAGCTAAGAGAGCGCCACTTGAGTGAAGGTAATTACATAGTCACACTCAGGATATATCCTGAACAGAGCGACTTGAGGTCAGCCCACATCAAAACCCCAAAACAGCCAGGCTTTGGCCAAAAGCTTAACATTTTCTTGAGGATCTGGGCCGGCAAGCCATTGTAGTTGCTGCTGGTATGTGGACTCAAGATAGCAAAAGAATCCAACTAGACTTAAATTGAGTAAGAGAACTCATGGCCTGGCATCCAGGACAGTGCACACCCTGGAAAGTCCACCTGCATCTGGTTTGGAACAGGTAAATTGCTTGGCATCATCCAAATCAGAACCAATCAAAATAAACGTCTGGTTAATGGTCACCCAGTTCCAATGGAGGTCGATACCGACACAGCCATTTCAGTGATTACAGAACCAGTGTTTAACACAATTTACTCTGGACGCCAACCCTTAAGTTTGCACTAGACCTCGACTGGACTGAGAACCTGTACTGGGGAACTTTTACAGGGTGCAACTTTGGTTCTAGCCTCGTATGGGAAGCAGCTGGTTCAGTTACCACTGATTGTAGTAAAAGGCTTTGGCCCAAGGTTGATGTAGTGAAATTGGTTGGGAAAGATTCACCTAGATGGGCTCAATATTTTTTTGATTAGCAAATGGCTGCCTGTGTGAAGTTGTAATTAAATACCCGGAGATTTTTCAGGAAGGTCGAGGAGACAAGGCCACTTTGCATGTTGACCAGGAAGCAATTCTACGATTCTGCAAGACCCACCCAGTGCCCTATGCCTTATGGGCAAAAGTAGAGGCAGAAATCAAGAGGCTGGAAAGCGAAGGAATCATCAAACCAGCCCAGTTTGCGGAATGGGCAGCACCGGACAGAGAGATTGTGAAGCCCCAATGAGTTGGTTTGTCTTTGTGGAGATTTTAAACAATGATAAACTGCTTTTCACAACTGAATAAATACCTAATCCCTCAAATAGAGGATTTATACATAAAGCTGTCAGGCTGGACATGAGCCATGTGTACCTGCAATTGTGGTTACATGAGGATTCCCAGAAGTACGCTACAATTAATACCCATAAGGATTTGTACCAATATACAAGATTGCCATTTACGGTATCGTCAGCCTGTGCAATTTTTCAGTGGACGATGGGGAACATTTTCAAGGTCTACCCTAGATCGCCATTTATCTAGATGATGTGTAAAAACAGAGAAGACCAATAAGGAGCACTCAGAGAACTTGTACGTAGTCCTTAGACATTTCTCCCAGGCGGGCTTGCGCCTTACCTGTGTTCCAGGCACCCCAAGTGACCTACTTGGGCTATAGAGTCAACAAGATTGGGTTACACCTGTTGGAAGGTAAAGTGAGGGCAATCAAAGTTGCCCCAGCTCCCATGTCTATACCAGAGCTTAGGCCTTTCCCTGGCCTGGTGAATTATTACAGAAAGTTCACACATGATCTGGCCTTCATCCTGGCACCTTTGCATCAACTCTTAAAGGGTCAACTTTGGAAATAGCTTTCAGGGAAGTGAAGAAACAGCTGTCGCCCTCTAAGGTGTTGGCACACTATGATCCCAAGGAAGATCTGGTACTGCAATCCCTCCCCATATGGCATCAGAATAGTTTTAGCTCATAGGTGGCCCAATGGAGAGGAACGCCCAATAGCGAATGCATTCAGGACTTTGACTAATGCAGAGTGTAAACATGCCCAGATAGAGAAGGAAGGTTTGGTGGTCATAGTTAGAGTCAGAAAGTTTCACCAATACCTTTACAGATGTAAATTTGTAATAACAACGGACTACAAACCCCTGCTAGGTCTATTTAAAGAGGACAGGGCAGGCTCTATTCAGAAGTGAGCTCTAATACTAAGTGCAATAATTACAAGTTGGAACACTATCCGGGAGACTAAGTAGCTAATGCAGCTGCATTGAGCTGCCTTCCACTGGCAGATACATCACCGGTGGAACCACCACTGGAAGAGTCTGTAAGGAGTTTAAAACCACTTCCAGTCACAGCTGACAACATCAGACTCTGGATGCAGAAAGATCTGGTCCTAGCCAAACTGAAACAGCTGGTGGTGATGGGGGAAACCAAAGGGCCATCACAACCAGAACTGGAACCTTTTTGGACCCAGAGAGACCAGATCAAGCAGGGGGTGGTATATTATTATGGGGAGTAAGGGGGATTGTCCTGAGCAAAGGTCACTGCCAGATACTGGCTGAGTGCCACCAGGGTCAGCCAGGGGGTTTCCAAAATGAAGATGTTGGTGAGAAGCTATGCCTGGTGGCCCGGATTGGATGCAGACATAACAGTGTTGGTGGGACAGTGCTTGGAGTGCCAATAAGGACAAAAATTATCACCAGCAGCTGTGCCCCAATGTGTGGGAATGGCTGGGTAAACCCTGGACTCGATTACACATTGACTATGCTGGTCCTTTCATGGGCTGTATGTTCTTGGTCATTGCGGATGCCCACTCAAAATGGCTAGACGTGCATAGAGGTTTTTTGTCAAACGTGGGGATGATGATAGAAAAACTGTGCACATCTTTTGCAATACACAGATAACAGACCATTGTGTAGCATCAGGGAATTTGAATGTTTCCTAAACTCGAATGGTATTCACCAGATAAAGACAGCTCAATATCATCCATCATCCAATGGTCTGAAAGAAAGAGCAGTCCAAACTTTGAAGGCAGGTGAGCTTAAAGAAATAGCCTACAGCTTCACCAGATACCAAGCTGTCCCAGTTCCTATTTGATTATAGGACCATCCTTTATGCAACTACAGGGATAGTTCTAGCAGAGTTGGTAATGGGGAGAAGACTCTGCACCAAGTTAAATCTGATCTTCCTGGACTTGGGGGGGGGGGGGGGGGGGGGGGGGGGGCGGGAGGGTGCAGGGCAGAAGGTGAAACAGCATCAGGGGTGCCAAAGCTGGGCATCAGACTCTACTCAGCAAGAGAGACAGTTTATTTAAGAAGACAAAGTTTGATGTAGGAGCTATGAGAATAGCCCTGCATGAGTAAGAGGCATGGTTGACGCGAGGTCAGGTCCAGTAACGTATCGTATTTGGGAAGGTGCAACGGTCCCAAACAAGCACATTGACCGTATGAAAGCTGCAAAGTCACAAACGGTGCGGGAACAAAATGTGCCCGGCTCCTCAACTGCCTCTCTGAATGTTGTAGAACTTGTGGGCTCTCCCTCTCCATTGAGCATCGAAGATACCTTGGAATCTGAGATGGACACCGTAGATGTCATAGCCTCAATCCCTTTTGCTGCCTGAAGAGGAGGATGAATTTCTTCCCGAGATGCTCTGGCCACAAGAGGCGAGCTCCTGTGTATTACACGCTGCCCCTATCCAAGGCAGAGTTAGAGGAAACTGACCCGGTGCTAAAATAGCTCAGGAGGAACTGCAAAAAAAACCGGCCTATGTCCTTGGACTCAGAGGGGCAGGGATGTAATGATTGAAACGAAGCCAGCCTGGTGGATCTCATAGAATATGAGTTCCTTGATCGGGGCTGTTCACCTGCTCCAACCAGGGAGCCTTGGCTGACAAATATAAACAAGAGTGTCAGGGTTTCTCTTCACTCTGAGAGCTAGCTCTGAGGGAGCTGGATCAATGTCAAGGACCCTCCACGTGTAAATAAAGGGTGACTTGGTGACAGGATACCGGCCTCAGTGAAGTTATTTCAGCCACATTGTTTAAATTAAAAGCAGGGAGATTGAGAACATCCAGAAAGGTTCACAGAGATCTCATAGATCTCACGTATTTTGGAGTTGATTGAAATCTGGATTTACTTTGTAAATAAGACCAAGTAACAGTGATCCCAATAAAGTGCTGGTCCCATTCGTCACGAAGTTTAGTTCTCATCTGCATTGGGTAGGTGATGGCCTAGTGGTATTACTGCTAGACTATTAATCCAGACACTCGGGTAATGGTCTGGGGACCTGAGTTCGAATCCCACCACGGCAGATGGTAGAATTTGAATTCAATAATAATCTGAAATTAAGCGTCTAATGATGACCATGAACGCATTGCTGATTGTCATCTGGTCCACTAATGCCCTTTAGGGAAGGAAATCTGCCATCCTGACCTGGTCTGGCCTACATGTGACTCCAGACCCACAGCAATATGGTGGACTGTTAACTGCCCTCTGGGCAATTAGGGATGGGCAATAAATGCTGCCTAGCCAGTGATGCCCACATCCCACGAATGAATTAAAAAAAAAAGTTACTGGCAGGCAAGTTCATCATCACCTCCTGCCTCTTGTACTTCCTGCTTTATTAATGACTCTGATTCTCTGTCCTGCCACCTTTAATGACCTGTGCATGTATACAATCAAATTCTGAGTCAAATTTGTAAATTGCTTCAAGCCAAGACCCCTCTTGCCTCCTGATGTATTCCCAATCACAAGTCTTTGCACTTCTTCAAACAAGATTCCTGAAAGTCACCTCAGGGAAGTTCTTGTTGATGCTTCTGAAGAAATTTTTGAGGGAATTCCTACTGAGCTTCCTTAGATGCAGCCTTTCCTGCGGTGGTCACAGATGGAGTTTCAGCCTATTATCCTGTGTTCCTGTTTTGATTTCCCTATGTTCAAGTCTGTTTCTTAATGTCCATGTTCTGATGAGTGTGGGATGAAAAGCTTCTGTTTTGTGTCTCCTTTTAGCTATGTTTAAGAAGCAGATTTAATGGAAGGGTACAATGGTTTGAAATGAAGGATTTTGTTCATGTAAACCAGAAGAAACTGTTTCCACTGAGGGCTGGGGGTGTTGGTGATGGGAAGACATTTGAGGTCATTTGTGAAAATACAAGAAGAGAGAAATAAGCTTTTCTAACGTGGTGAATTGTTAGGATCTAGAATGTTGATGATGATGTGAAACTCAGCATATACTGAAGAAGACAGTAACAGACTTCTGAAGGACATGGACAAACATGTGAAATAGGTAGACAGATGGTAGATGAAATTTGATGCAGAGAAGTGTGAAGTGATTCATTTTGCAAAGAAGAATGAGTTGAGGCCATGTAAACTAAATGGTACC